ATATATACTACACACACACACACACACACACACACACACACACACACATATATATATATATATATATATATATATATATATATATATATATATATATATATATATATATATATATATATATATATATATATATAAATGATACTAAAGTAGCGTGCATCTGATTGACCAATTTGAACTCACACCCAATCATTACACTCGAAATCATTTCTGCAGGCCTCATCGGGCGATGCGACGGTGGTGGCACTATCAGAGGCAGGCACAGCACCCAATGAGCACGTGGGCAGCAAAACCGAATGCGCGCTGCTGCAAGTGTGTCTGGACTTGGGCGTGGAGTATTCCGAACTGCGCAAAGAAGGGTGTGTGGGTGGATTGGGAGCATGTTCAGTATATGTGTGTGTTATTATAGAGGCTATGCAGTATATGTGTGTGGTGTTATAGAGGCATATGCAAAATATATGTGTGTTGTATTAGAAGCTTATGCCGTATATGTGTGTGGTGTTATAATGGCATATGTAGTATAGGTGTGTGTTGTAATAGAGGCTATGCCGTATATGTGTGTGTTGTAATAGAGGCTATGCCGTATATGTGTGTGTTGTTATAAAGGCATATGCAGTATATGTGTGTGTTGTTACAATGGCACATGCAGTATATGTGCTTGTTGTTTTAGAGGCATATGCCGTATATGTGCGTGGTGTTATAGTGGCATATGCAGTATATGTGTGTGTTGTTATAGAGGCATATGCCGTATATGTGTGTGTTATAAAGGCATATGCAATATATGTGTGTGTTGTTATAGAGGCACATGCCGTATATTTGTGTGTTGTTATAAAGGCATATGCAGTATATGTGTGTGTTGTTTTCGAGGTATATGCCGTATATGTGTGTGTTGATATAAAGGCATATGCAGTGTGTGTGTGTGTATTGTTTGAGGGGCATGTGTAGTATATATACATATATATATATATATATATATGTGTGTGTATGTGTTGGCGTTGTTCTGCCTTGTGGTACGTGTGTGTGTGCGTATTGAACGGATTGTGATTGCATATGGCGCAACTGGAATACGTTGAGCACGTGTAGGTATATTGGGGTATATTCCAAGGACAAGCGACACCGTCGTATGATATCTACACTGCATGCACCAACGCAATAGGAATTGGTATATACACAGACAAGCTCGACGAAATTCTGTCATACATAGCCAATCTGCATTCTCCTACTAATACAAGTGTGCACGCCTACCTATTTTTTTTACCTACCTACCTACCTACCTACTCACCTACCCACTTAGCTACCTAGCTTCTTATCTACTTACCTACCTACTTACCTACCTACTACCTACCTACCTACTTACCTACCTACTTACTTCCCTACCTACCTACTTACTTACCCACCTACCTACTTAGCTTCTTACCTACCAGCTTACCTACTTACCTTCCTACCCGTCCGCAGCGCGACATTGCGTCTGATCCCCTTCAACTCAGACCGCAAGCGCATGTCCAAGGTCATCCACCGCAACCACTCCACCCGTGTGCACAGCAAGGGCGCCAGTGAAGTCATGCTAGACCTCTGCACACAACAGGTGGACGAGAACGGCGCTGTCTCAGACTTTACGCCCAAGCAGAAGGATGTGTATCTGCGGCACATCGACCACTACGCCAGTGATGGGCTGCGCACGCTTGTGCTGGCGTACAAGGACTACCCTGAGGTGAGCGTGTGGGAGGGGCGCACGGGCATGCACGGCGTACACGCGGCTGGTGGGCGTATGTGCAAGTGTGTTTGTGTGGTTGTAGTTGTAGTTGTATTTGGAAACATACGCATCCGCATATCATCGACCCCTATGCCAGAGGCGGGTGTGAATAAGGACTTGCCCATGCAATGTGTGTTTCATGCAATGTGCATTGAATACAATGTGTATTTAATTTATTGTGTGTATCATGCAATGTGTATAGAACAGATACCTGTTCCGTCTTCTGTCCTGCCGTAAGGTGTGTGCTTGCGGGTGCTTGCAAATGGCAGTGTAGTTTCATCCGCCATCGCACAAGGGTAGGTACGTACCTGCACCACCCACCGTATCCGTAACGGGACAGAGATCGTGTACGTCTGTATAGGCAATTCGCTCGAGAATACTCAGCAACCGCCACACTTTCTATGTCCAGGACCACGGCATCAGCGACTGGGACGAAGAATCCATCGACGACATCGAGAAAAACTTGGTTTTTCTGTGTCTGGTAGGTATTCAAGACCCGGTCAGACCGGAAGTACCCGAGGCTATTCAGCAGTGCAAAAGTGCGGGCATTGTGGTGCGCATGGTGACGGGCGATAATGTAACAACCGCCACGACCATTGCCAGAGAGTGTGGTATCCTGGATAGCAAGAATGATCTCGGTATGCGTGTGTGATATATATATATATGTGTGTATGTATTTATTGTATGTATGTATATATGTATGTATGTATGTATGTATGTATGTATGTATGTATGTATGTATGTATGTATGTATGTATGTATGTATGTATGTATGTATGTATGTATGTATGTATGTATGTATGTATGTATGTATGTATGTATGTATGTATGTATGTATGTATGTTTGTATGTATGTATGTATGTATGTATGTATGTATGTATGTATGTATGTATGTATG